CATTGATATCGCCACATAAGAGTTACAGCACATACAGTTGGGGAACTCTTGGTTATTTGCCTATTTAAAACTCTACACAGAAATGAATATGTAAACCATATACTGTACCATGCAATCTTACACCCACATCCAAGAAAAGAGTAGACACTTACCAAACACTTCATCCAATTCTCTGTGAACTTTCTTCTGGGCTTCAGGATGGCATCCAAGTAAGTAGATAGCCCAGTTCATAGCAGCAGCTGTTGTATCATGCCCCTAGAGTTACAGATTTACTCAGATGTTCAGATCTGCATTGTCTTCATGCATATGAAGATAAATATATACAAAGAATTAGGGATATTATAGGGGATATTATAGTGGTGTAGCCTAACTGTACAGATACAGAAGAAAAGTTAAGACTATATGAATCATGTAACAATTTGGTACCTAAGACTGAACAAGACATAACCAGTTATGTAATAGGATGGATGGAGACTAAGATAAGAAAAAAAACAGAAGTCCCTTTGCCAGCCCTCTTCTATTACTTAGCTTTTCTATGTTGGCTGGGTGAAGGGTCTTCCTCTGCATTCAGTTTCTGTAAGGAAGAGGTTTGCTATTGCTTCCTTGTAGATATAAACTTGTTGACCCACTAAATCTCTCTCGACAGTCACAATAATTTAAACACTATATAGCAATCTTAAAGTCACTATTTTTTCCTCAGTCAACTATTGGAAGCGCATTTGACTTTCTTCACCGCTTTACAATGAAATGTAAATATACCTGACTTTTTAGTTACTCACTATCTTTACTATCCCATGACAAAATATACAGTATTACCATCAATTACCAGAAGAGGGCAAAGAAATTTAATTTTGCTAAGATTATATATTACAAACATAAAACTCAGCCATTCAAGTACTATATGCTAAAGAAAACAAGAGAATGTTCACTAGCAACAGATTTTAGTACAAGTAGTTTAATTTTAATCAAATGTACTCTAATTATGCCATAGAGTAATAGCAACCACAGTACAATTAATTCCATTGCCTCTGGGAGTACAGAGTTACAGCAGCAAAAAACTGGAGCAGTACGGCAGGGAACCACACCCAGTGTGAGCATTTCCAGTCATCCTGTATCCCAACCGATATAAGTGTAATGGAAAGGGTCCAAAGACAGCTGACAAAAGCAATCAGAAGTATAAAGAGATTCATTGTGGGAAGAGATTGGGACCATTCCGTTTAGTTGGAGTACCTCAAACATGAAAGTATCCACTTCCTCTCGAATATCCATGTAGCTCAGTTTGTTCCCTTCATCATCAGTTGTACTGAGAAGCATATCAAGAAAAGCCCTTCTCCTTTTGGGCGCACTTTGTTCGCAGTTGTCATCAAAGTCATCTTTCTGTTGTGTGTCGTTCTCTATTTCAAGGGCTTTTTCTGCAATAACCTTAGATATAAATAAATCAATATATTATTTTTTCCACAGTTTAGATTCCACAATCTAAGTGTGTGGCCACTGCTTTAAATACACGTATTTTAAAATACACGTACTTTAAAATAACTTTTATCCCAGATATTTAAAGACTGACTCTACCGCTGACTCCATACTATGCACTGGTTGGTGATATTAAGCGACATCTATACCCACCCCCTTAGTATTTCCCTTAGTATTTGTTTTCCTATTGTACACTGAGTTTGCACAGGTCAGGGTTGTGAATCGTGTAGAATCTGAATTTGTAAGTCCATGCTGGCTCTTTGCTTTGATTGTCCTTCATTTCTGAATTTTCAATACCGTGTCTGTAGTAGAAAGACAGGATTTGAATGGTAACCCATGTTAAGCACACCATTGTAGCTGAAAAAAATGAATTAAAATCAGATGTTACATCTATGGATTTAAAATTAAGAGAAAATAGTGGACTTTTATAAAAAAATAGGTCATCTCCAGGTATTTTTTCCTTGCTGAAGTGCATTCATTGAGGTTTTTATATTTAAGTTTTCCATGCAGTCCAAATTTCTATCATTTTCTCAAAATTCAGATTTGAACTGAAATATTTAAGTACTGGACAAAGCACCAGAACAAAGCAGAATGCCATTTTAAAATATTTTAGCTGTTACAAGCCTTAGGGTGAAGTGCTCTGATTATTTTAAAATGTTCAGAACGTTGCATGTTAAAGCAATTAGGATGATTCTATGTGATTTTTTTGTTTTTTACCACCAGTTACAACTAAGTTCTACTATTACCATGTGAGGGTGACCCACTGGCTAAAACCAACACTCAAGCAACAAGTTCTAAGTCACATTATCTCTCCTCTTCAGAGGATTTCTTTAGAGACTGAATATCATAAACATTCAGTTCTCTTATTATATATGTACCACAGATAAGGTGATGTTCCCAATGGCTGATTCTCTGTCACCACATTCACAATCTGGAATCTCTATATTTACTACGTTATTTTCTTCATTGATGGGAACACAGTAGAAAAAGGAATAACAGGTTACATTGTCAGTAAAACTGTGAAGGATCTTGAGGCTTCTTGTATGTTCCCTTCCTTCTTGGAACATAGGGTACATCAAGTTAGACCAAAGCCAAGGAGACTTCTGTCTATGATGAATGAGGTCACTCATCCTAGGGTAACAAAAATAGCATTATAATATTTATTTCTAAAAACATATTCACAACATGTCCACAAGACCCTTAACAGGGTCAAAATTCCTGGTCCTGGACAGGATGATGCACTTGATGTTGCAGACACAAACCATTTTGTCTAATCTTTAGGGATGCCCTCAATCCACTTTTAATTAATTATAATGCTCAGTATCGGCTATAATACTTTTCACATTTTTATTTATAGAAATGTTTCTGTCCAGTGAAATCTATTTTCCCATACAAATCAGTATTAATCCAAGAAGTTTGCCACCATGAAAAAAAACCCTAGGGCCAGCTTTTTCTCTTGGTCACATTAATGTAAATCTGGAATAACTCTACTGAAGTCCACAATATTAATCTGCGTTTGCAATAGGATCAGTCACAAAACAAATCATTGTATTACCAATGCAATGCTTGTTCTAATATAATCTGATGTAGACCTGTATGGTCTGATTCTTATGGTCACTAAGGGACCTTTATACTGCTGTGGCAATAAAAAGGGGCCTTGGAATTAGAATAAATTACATTTACCCCACTGTAAGGTCACTTTACACTGCTACGGTGGGACTCTAAATTATTTTCACTTCACTGTTGTGTTGCACCTCCTGTAGTCTTTTACACTAATGCACGACGAGTGAAAAACATTACCATTCTAACCTGACACCATTTCACACTCACTTTGCACTGTGTAAATCTTTATACAAGATGCAAATCAACAGTGAGTTGGGCTCAATGTGCTATATAGATTCAGTTTCCTCCCTCCTCCGCCTCCACCCCAAAGAAGGCTCAAAGGAGCTGTGCTGAGTAGTCCAGCCAATGTTAGCTATGGAAGGGCTGATTTTCAACTGCAACCTGTTGACACGTTATAGCAGCTGGCCTTGTGGCGCCATTACAGAGGTCTCTTCTGTGCATGTACAGCTTGCATAGGTTCTACCATCGTCCTGCCACTCTACCTCTATATACACTCCCCAATCCCCACACATGGGTAATGAAAGACCTAACTTGCACAGCGGGCCTTGTGCGTAGGTGAACTGTTGCTCTTGTGCAGGCCTGGTTGTCCTACCGGATTTTGCTTTAAAAAAATTTGAGGTGCTATAGCTGACGTTGGCATTCTCAATCCTACACCAACAAAACTATAAGACTTGAAAGATCTACACTTACTTATAAATAGCACGGACATATTCAGAATCCCTATTGTTCTGCGCACTGACATTCTTGCCCATCGCAGTTTCTAGAAAGAGAAAAGAGAAACTTATTAAGAATACGTTAGCTGGGTGGAAAGCCAGAAGTACATTGAGAACATACAGCCAGGTGTTGCATGAAATCATTGCAGCCATTTACATCCTCATCTCATGGCGTTTCTCTTTTTTTAGAATGTGTAGTCTCTTTGTGAGGGTACATCTACACTACAGGGGGGAGTCGATTTAAGATACGCAAATTCAGCTACGTGAATAGCGTAGCTGAATTCGACGTATCGCAGCCGACTTACCCCGCTGTGAGGACGGCGGCAAAATCGACTTCTGCGGCTTTCTGTCGACGGCGCTTACTCCCACCTCCGCTGGTGGAGTAAGAGCGTCGATTCGGGGATCGATTGTCGCGTCCTGATGGGACGCGATAAATCGATCCCCGAGAGGTTGATTTCTACCCGCCGATTCAGGCGGGTAGTGTAGACCTAGCCTGAGACTAGTCCTAATATTCCTGTTGCTTTAACTCTCCCTCAGGTTAGATTCCATATTCCTGTTCCGCCCCATAACACAATGTTTGATTGTTCAGATAGACACAAACATAATTAAAACAGAAAAGATGTGTTCATTATTGATAATACAAAAGTAGTGGTACAAGACCAGCAGGGTTTTTTTGTCAATTATCTCAACAAATGAAACTGTAGCATTGTGGACAGCTGTAGTCTCCTCATCATTTACAGCACTTTTATAGCAACTGTTGAATCATCACCAGGACTTACCACAGATTATATCCAGGGCACAGAGAGTGATGTCTAGAAAGCAATCAAATGGCCCTTTGTCAACATGCTTTTCAAGTTTATCAACCAAAATACTGGCTTGTTCGTTCATAACTTCTAGAAAATCAGCTAAGATTGTGAAGTGGAACGTGGGAGTTATCATTTTCCTTCTGGAACGCCACTTATCTCCAGTGCTACAAAATAAAGAGTTGGAAATTAAGTATAAAAAAACCCTCACCAAAAAGGAAACAATTAATGGCTTGTGGAAGTGCTCAGTGGATATACAATTTCTGGCACTAGAGTAGCTACAACTGGTAGATAGATTCTTAGAGCTAATCTTTTCAAACGTTGCCAGTAGACCATGTAGTTTTTGTCAGTCCATCTTTGTTGATGACAGTAAAGAGTGGCTCTAATGACTTGTAACATTTTTCAGATATAAATTAATGTTGCTAGTTGCAGCCAGCACCACTCACTACAAGGGGCAAAATGGAAGTACATTTTGCTACAAAACTCTTCTAATCATACAGTGCTCCTAACAGCTTGATGCTAACTGTAGCTGCTGCAAGACAAATATGGTGAACAAAAAGTTACCCTAAGGCAAGGGCTCACATTGAGAAGGCACTTGGGGTGTAAGTGGGTAAGGAGAAGAGTAAATAAGAAGTCCCTTGTTAAATATTTAGCAACCCAGCTCCAGCTAAGCCCATCTTTACTGATAATCGTAAATGGTGGCTGCCCTCCTGTTACGGGGTGGTCACCCGCTCCGGCCCTGAAAGGGTTACAACCAGCCCTGGGAGAGATCTAGGGCTGTGAGCCAAATACTAGGCTGATAGGGGAGGCAGCCACAGCTGAGGCCACGCCCCAATCAGGCCACAGCTGGCCCTATAAAATGTTGTGGGCCAGGAGCTCAGAGAGTCTCTCTGTAGCTGTGGAGAGATGGGCCTGGCTGCCTGGGAGCTCAGCAGGGTACCTAGGGTGGAGCAGGGCTGGGGAAAGGCCAGAGGAGCTGGGGAGCTCCAGGCTGGAAAACCCCCAGGCTGCAGGCCTTGTTAAGGGCTGGGAAGGGTAGTGGGGTTGCAGAGGTGCAGCCCCGGGTATGCAAAGGCAGCAGGTCCAAACCCCGCCTTGCTGATGGTGAGTGATTTACAGACTGCAGTCTGCCCCAGTGTGTGGGGGCTAGATGGTGACTGGCAGTAGCCACTCAGGCAAGGTTGGGATAGAGGGTTGAGGGTTCCCCTGCGTGGGGAGACCCAGAGAGTGGGGGTACTGCCGAGGGTCAGCACCTATGATAAAGAGGCAACGGAGTCTGGGAGGGACACGGGGGTCTGAAGCATGTGGGATACTGGCCGGCAGAGGGCATTCCAAGGCTGGAAAAGTTAATTCCCTGAATGGTGAGTTGTCGCCTGCTACACGGTGGTGGAGAATGCAGGCAAGTGCGGTCCGCCCCTGATATAAGGGGCAAGGCAAGGCAAGGACTGGGACGATTGCCGAGCAGAGAGAATAAAGGGGTGATGGATCCCCGATAAGCGGAGGTATTCTTCGCAGAGGGTTCCTGTGCCATTCCAGGCTGGGCTCCCGGGTCTGGTCCCCTGAGGAAAGGGGCAGTCTGACAGCCTGAGAGGCTGGAGAGACTTGTACAAGAACTCAGGGAGACTCAGCAGAGACAGTGGGAGGTACAGTGGACCTTGGAAACAGAGTTGGGGTGGCTAGCAGAGGGGCAGCAGGCCCTGGGGAAACTCCTGCGGAGGGAGTTCCCAAAAGACCGCCGAGACTGGTGGGAGAAACCCAGCGCTGGGTCCAGGAGGCCCGGGGTAGATTGCCAGGCGTGTTACACCTGTGGGCAGTGCGGACATGTAAGGGTAACTTGTCCCTACTGGGATGGGGGCAGAGAGCCGCACCCGTGCTACACCTCCTTTTTCCACTATATAGAAAAGTGAGGTTTGGGGATAGTTACTGCCTAATGTCCAGTTTATTACATCAGTATCATCTACCAAACGTTTCTCAAAGAAGAAGATTCATCTCCCACAGAGCTTTTGAGGTAATGGGACAGAGACTAAAGAATTGCGGATAAATTAAATGAATTCTTTGCTTCAGTCTTCACGTCTGAGGATGTTAGAGAGATTCCCAAACCTGAGCCGTCCTTTGTAGGAGACAAATCTGAGGAATTGTCACAGATTGAAGTGTCACTAGAGGAGGTTTTGGAATTAACTGATAAACTTAACAGTAACAAGTCACCAGGACCAGATGGCATTCATTCAAGAGTTCTGAAAGAACTCAAATGTGAAATTGAGGAACTATTAACTATGGTTTGTAACCGGTCCTTTAAATCGGCTTCTGTACCCAAAGACTGGAAGATAACTAATGTAACGCCAATATTTAAAAAGGGCTCTAGAGGTGATCCCGGCAATTACAGACCGGTAAGTCTAACGTCAGTACCAGGCAAATTAGTTGAAACAATAGTAAAGAATAAAATTGGGCAAAAATCAACATGGATTCTGTAAAGGGAAATCATGTTTTACTAATCTATTAGAGTTCTTTGAAGGGATCAACAAACATGTGGACAAGGGGGATCCAGTGGACACAGTGTACTTAGATTTCCAGAAAGCCTTTAACAAGGTCCCTCACCAAAGGCTCTTCTGTAAATTAAGTTTTCATGGGATAAGAGGGAAGATCCTTTCATGGGTTGAGAACTGGTTAAAAGACAGGGAACAAAGGGTAGGAATAAATGGTAACTGTTCAGAATGGAGAGGGGTAACTAGTGGTGTTCCCCAAGGGTAAGTCCTAGCACCAATTCTATTCAACTTATTCATAAATGATCTGGGGAAAGGGGTAAACAGTGAGGTGGCAAAGTTTGCAGATAATACTAAACTGCTCAAGATAGTTAAGACCAAAGCAGACTGTGAAGAACTTCAAAAAGGTCTCACAAAACTAAGTGATTGGGCAACAAAATGGCGAATGAAATTTAATGTGGATAAATGTAAAGTAATGCACATTGGAAAAAATAATCCCAACTATACATACAATCTAATGGGGGCTAATTTAGCTACAACTAATCAGGAAAGAGATCTTGGAGTCATCGTGGATAGTTCTCTGAAGATGTCCACACAGTCACACTGCAGCGGCAGTCATAAAAGCAAACAGGATGTTAGGAATCATTCAAAAAGGGATAGAGAATAAGACAGAGAATACCGTATCTTATTGCCCTTATATAAATCAATGGTACGCCCACATCTTGAATACTGCGTACAGATGTGGTCTCCTCATCTCAAAAAAGATATACTGGCATTAGAAAAGGTTCAGAAAAGGGCAACTAAAATGATTAGGGGTTTGGAACTGGTCCCATATGAGGAGAGATTAAAGAGGCTTTTCAGCTGGAAAAGAGGAGACTAAGGGGGGATATGATAGAGGTATATAAAATCATGAGTGGTGTGGAGAAAGTAAATAAGGAAAAGTTATTACTTGTTCCCATAATATAAGAACTAGGGGCCACCAAATGAAATTAATGGGCAGTAGACTTAAAACAAATAAAAGGAAGATCTTCACACAGCGCACAGTCAACCTGTGGAACTCCTTGCCTGAGGCGGTTGTGAAGGCTAGGACTATAACAGATTTAAAAGAGAACTAGATAAATTCATATAGGTTAAATCCATGAATTAGCCAGGATGGGTAAGTAATGGTGTCCCTAGTCTCTGTTTGTCAGAGGTGGATGGCAGGCGAGAGATCACTTGATCATTACCTGTTAGGTTCACTCCCTCTGGGGCACCTGGCATTGGCCACTGTCGGTAGATGGATGGATGGACCTTTGGTCTGACCCAGTATGGTCGTTCTTATGTTCTTACGACTGTCCAAGTATATGTTCCTGTGGTCCCTGTCCCCTGCAAGTAGCTGTTTCTATTGCAGTGAGACCAAGTACTCTCCCTCCTCCCATAAAGCTCTTTCAGGATGCTTGATCCCAGCCTCCCAAACCATCTGGCTCATTCTGGGGTGGGCCAAGTCTACTCCACCTTCCCCCTCTTCTGGGGTATCTAGTGGGGTGTCACTGATGCTTCTCCAGTCCCCTCTCCCAACTACTGCTAGTCTTTGAGGTATGGATGTGCTTGATCTTGCACCATCACAACACAGCCTGGCCAAAGGAGCCAGTGGGCCTTCTCTCCTTAGCTACTCTAGCCCAGGGGTAGGCAACCTATGGCACGCGGGCCAAAGGTGGCACACGAGCTGATTTTCAGTGGCACTCACACTGCCCGGGTCCTGGCCACTGGTCCGGGGGGCTCTGTATTTTAATTTAATTTTAAATGAAGTTTCTTAAACATTTTTAAAACCTTATTTACTTTACATACAACAATAGTTTAGTTATATATATTATAGACTTATAGAAAGAGACCTTCTAAAAACGTTAAAATGTATGACTGGCACGCAAAACCTTCAATTAGAGTGAATAAATGAAGACTCGACACAGCACTTCTGAAAGGTTGCCGACCCCTGCTCTAGCCTTTCTGCTCCTTATGCTGAATTCCTGCTGCAATCTTAAGAGGAGTCCTAGCCTGTGTCTCAGATGGTGTCAGCAGGGAACACAGCATCTTCCTGTTTTGAGCAGGGGAGCTCACAACCACACCCCCACTCCCCGCACCCAAAATCTCCTATTTTTTAAATGTCCCCAAACTGATCCTCCTTTGTCTATAGAGTGAAAGTCAGGAATGCAGCATTGGTGAGATCCAGCCACAGTGTTAGTTTATTCTGAGTTTCTAAACAGCAAAAAATTATGGGGGAAATAATCACCAAAATATTTACAAAAGATCAGAAATGGCAAATACCTATTTTAGACTTGTGCTTCCAGAATAGCATAAGTAGGTACTATTGCATGGGGGAGGAGTAAAGTGGGGCATAGCCAGGGCCACCCCTCCCACATGAATGACATCCTCAGAACTGTACAGGGGAGACATCCACTGTGGACATTAGGTGCCTTCCCTCCCCAGGCACATGTCCTCTGGGGCAAAAAACAGCAGAGAGGAGCCAGCCAGAGGCCAAAGCCAGCAGAGCAGCAGTAGAAGCAACTGAAGCAGGCACCCATGAACACTGATAATATTTTCCACAGCTTTGACTGGACTTTCTTTGCCTTGTGCTGACTGGGGGAAGGGACTGGAGCAAACAGCCAAAGTCTCTATACCTCAGCTTCCCTCCACATCTGACCTGCCCCATATACCTTCCTCCCTTCCCTCTTCTCATCTGCTCTATCCCTCTCATCACTCTCCTTTCCTGCCTTTTCTGTTGTGTGAAACTCCTCCTACCCCCCTTCAGAAAAAAATCATAGCTCTACTATGACATTTGTGCTTCCACATTATTCACTTCACTTGTGGGTCATATCCCTTTCCCTCACCCTGTGTCTGTCTTGTCTACTTATACTGTAAGCTCTTCAGGGAAGGGAGTATCTACTGCTGTGAATGTGTATGGTGCCTAGCAAAAAGGGGCCCTGAGATTGGTTGGTCCCTTGACATTCCCCTAATAATCATGATTCATAATAATAGGAGACTATCCCTTCAGCAGAGGTGATAAGTGCATATAATTGATAAAGGTGGTGTGTTTATGTATTTGATATAGCACATAAATCCAAGCTGACTGTGAGTCAGATTCTGTCTGTAAGCTTGCTTTTCATTACACCCCAGCAGCCACACTTAAGTTCTAAGAACAATAAAGTTCTAAAAGCATAAATGAAGGCAGAATTTAATAATTCGGAATCAGATAACTGGCAAGGTGCTCAGGGTGTGCTTCCCAAGGGGGAGTTAGGTGCTGAATTCAGATACCCTTGGGGAAGACCTAAATTCTGCACAAGGTAAGTCCTAGCACCAATCCTATTCAACTTATTCATAAATGATCTGGAGAAAGGGGTGTAACAAATCTTAGGCTAGGTCTACACTACCCGCCTGAATCGGCGGGTAGAAATCGACCTCTCGGGGATCGATTTATCGCGTCCCGTTGGGCCGCGACAATCGATCCCCGAATCGACGCTCTTACTCCACCCAGCGGAGGTGGGAGTAAGCGCCGTCGACAGGAAGCCGCAGAGGTCGATTTTGCCGCGTCCCTACAGCGGGGTAAGTCGGCTGCGACACGTCGAATTCAGCTACGCTATTCACGTAGCTGAATTTGCGTATCTTAAATCGACACCCCTCCCCCCCCCCCGTAGTGTAGATGTAGCCTTAGAAAACAGGGGAAATGCCAAAGGATTAGAGCATTGCCAACGTAGTTCTAGTATTCAGAAAGGGAAAAAGGGATGACTCAAGGATCTATACACTGGACAGCCTGATGCTGATCCCAGATAAAATGATGGAATGGTTAATTTGGGACTCTTATTAAAAAAAGAATTAGAGGCTACAAATATAATTAATGGCAGTTAACATGGTTTCATAGAGGGTAGGTCTCATCAAATTAACCTGCTGTTCTTTTTTTTTTTTAAGAGCACAGTTCTGGTTGACAAAGGCAACTATGTTAATATAGTATACTTGAATTTCTCCAAGGCATCTGACTTAATGCCACGTGACATTCTGATTAAAAAGATCACATTATATGGTATTAACAGGGCATACTTTAAATGGATTAAAAACTGACTCACTGACATCTCAAAATGTAGTTGCTAATGGGATATATTAGTGAGTGAGACCATTTCTAGCTGAGACCCCTGAGATTGGTTCTGGGTCAACAGCTATTCAATACTTTTATCAGTGATGTAGATGATAATATTAAATCTTTGCTGGTAAAGTTTGCAGATGACACAAACATTGGTGGGGTCATCAATAATCAGGCAGACAGGTTACTGTTACAGAGTAATCTGAATCACCTGATTAAATGGTCACAGTCCAACTAAATGTGTTTTAAGAGAGCCAAATGAAAGATAATACTTCTGGGAACAAGGAATGCAGACTATACCTACAGGAGGGTCACCTGGAGAGCAGTGACTCTGAGAAGGACTTTTCAGTCATCATAGAAAATCACCTCCAGATGAGCTCTTGGTGCATGCTGTGGTAACAAGGACTAGTCTGATCCTTGGATGTCAAGAAGGGGGAATAGCCAGTAGAAGTAAGGAAGTGATCTTGCCTCTGTACACAGCATGGGTAAGATCGGTACTACAATACCGTGACCAGTTCTGGTGAACATTTGGAGCAGGGGCTGCCTTTTTATTTTATGTTTGCACAGCCCTTAGCACAATGGGTTTCTGGTCCATGACTGGGGCTCCTGGGCACTATGATAATACAAGTGGAGGAAGAGGAGGAAAAGGACAGTTTGAAGGAGGGCCACAAAAATAAACCAGAGGCTGGAAAACAAGATTTACAAAGTGAAGCTTTATGAGCTCAATTTGTTCAGCTTATCAAAGAAAAGGATGAGAGGTGACTTGATCACTGTGCACAGGTACTTACACATGGAAAAGATATCTGATAGAGGGGAGCCTTTTCAGCCTTCCTGACAAAGGCAGAACACAATCCAATAGCTGGAAGTTAGACAAATTCAACCTTGAAATAAGATGCCATTTCCTAGCCGTGAGGGTAATTAGACTTTGGAACAATTTACCAACATAGGTGGTAAACTCACCGTTGCCTGGAGTCTTTAAAATGAGATTATATAGCTCTCTAAAAAATACATTTTAATCTACCTTCAGGCTGGATAGTCATTGTAGGCTCTTTTGGCTCAGAATCTGTGAATTTATGAATCCCACCCTTAGTCCGTTTTTTTCATGGACGATGGGGAGAACAGGTGTGTCTGCATTGCCCTCAGCATGCTCATTTACAGCTCTGTATTAAGACAATGATTATAATCCAATCTCATTTTCAGGGTTTCCCCAGTCACCTGTAATCATCAGGGAGGAATTTTTTCCCCAATTCACAATTGACCAGGTTTCTTGTGGGGTATGGTCGGGGGTTCACCTTTCTCTGAAACATCAAGGATTGGCCACTGCTGGAGACAGCACACCAGACAGGGTGGACCACTTCTCTGAGTGGTACAGAAAATCCTCTCTTTCAGACAATGGCTGGTGTGTCTTGCACACAGGCTCAGGGTCAAATTGATCACCAGATTTGGGGTCAGGAAAGAATCACCAAGTCAGATGGGAAGGGTACTTGGGCATTTTTGCCATCCTCAAGAGCACAGTGTGCGGATCACCAACCAAGATCATTTGTGCGTAGCTTACCTAATCAATTCCCTGCCATTGCAAGGGCCTTGGGTATTGGTCAGTCTTTCTTGTTCTCTGCCTCTGGCACACAACAGTCTCCTCAGGATTGAAATACTTTAGTTTAACCCAAGTGTGATAGATATGGCAATTTCCCGCAATATACTTGGGAGACCTTATTGAATTAAGTTTACATAACTTTAGGGTCCATTGCATTAAATGAATGGTTGTGGGCTTGGATGATCAAATGACTATATTGAACAAAGTGGCACACAAAAATGGATTTTTGAGATAATACCAGTGAAATGGATTTCCTGGGAAATATCTAGGGGGAGGTGAATGCAAATTTTACACACACCCCCACCCCACTTATGGTTATGCAACTGCACCCTAAGGACAGGACAACCATCAGCTGATTCCCTAATCCCGGAATCCCAAGATCAAAGGACCAAGCTGTGTAAAGGAAAGATGAACCTATGCATGGGTGTGCTTGTTCTGAGCAAAAGCTGTAATGAACTTGTAACTACAGAAAAACCATTTGGTGGATTGGAAGGACTGACTCATACCAAAGCCCCTGCTGGAGTAGGGCGTGGTGGCTGTCATCTTTGGTAAGCTTTTCAGCATGTGTGTAGGTTCTTTTATTCTTTTTAATATGTATTCCCTGTAATCCTTTCACCTTAAAAATAAATGTGCCTGCTTAGAAAGAGCTGTGTGGGAACTTATAACTGTGTGCAATTAAACTGTCTATAGCCTTTGGAGAAAAAGCAAAACACAGACACTGGCCTGTTCAGACAGTCTGGCTTGCTGGGAATATCACAGTATAGGCAGGGAAATGTGCAGCCTAGAAAAACCCCATCAGGAAGGAGAGAGACACGAAAAGGTGATGGGAGAGGAGTTGGGAGCCTCGAGTGGGTGCCCTTGCACATGGCTCGCCTTGAAGTTCATGAAGCTGAGTCTGAGGACAGCTGAGGGCTACATCAATGAGACTAAATGTGTCATTTGTGTGGGGAGAATATTTGATATTGCTGGATTATAATTGACTGATATTCTTTTGCTGAGGAATTAAAAGTTATTTCTATCAATTATGAAAACTCGAGCTCGGTGCATCCGAGTGAGGTCTTGCTACATCATTTGCTCTAAAGTCCCATTTACAGTCCTCACAGCGCAAGATCCTTTCAAGAACTGATCCTTTCTAGACTCCGGATGGTGGCAGGAGGACCACATTTTATGGCCCTGCTGGCAATACGGGCCTAAAGCTGCTTTTTGGGCATCTGTACTTTAGATTCTAATATTCAGACCATAATTATGCTTTTATTCTGCTTATTAGCAAATAAAATATAACACATTCTAATCTAGGCAGTAAATATATATATCTTAGAATTAAACTTTGCATAACTTTAAAGGTACATGACTCTATTTATATATTACGATACCTTGTTAGAAGTCCTGTGCCAAGCCATGGATGTAGGAATTTGTACGGAAAAGATTTTTCTATGTGCTTTGAACTGTTTAGAACAACCTACCAGCAGGAGAAAAGACAGAGGGGAAATATCTCTTTAAAAGAAGTTGGTAACACTGTATACTCATTTCATTTTTTAGGAGGAGGGTATTTGCAAAATATATTCAAAGCTATGACTGCTCTCCTATAAACTTGAACACCCATTTACAATCAACGATAGCTTTGCATTGTGCAGTCAACTTTACAAACCCTGGAGGTACAGGAGAGATCATTAACAAGGAAATATTTATCAAAATAAAAA